GGGGAGCGGGGGGCGGTGCAACCGCAGCTCTTACCGTCCGCGCGCGGGCCTGATGGTCCCCGGGGAAGGAGGGACGGAGGGGACAGGGGCGAAGGCCGTGACCCGAGAGCCCTCTCGGCGGTTGTTAGCCTCCGCAGCTGCTGGCGCCAAAGCCGGACTCCACCCTCTCTGTCGTCTCGGCGTGGGTGCCCAGACGCAAGAGGGCGGGTCCAGGGAGCTAAGAGCGACAGCGCCCCGACCACACTTGGGGAAGGCCGCCCCGCGGCACAAGGGGTTAATCCCAAGGCTTTGGCGAAGGTTCTGTTGGTGCAGCAGTGATTTTTTTTTGACTACAAATTGCTTCGGGTGTTTCCGGAAGGGGCCGAGTCAGTCCTATACTGGGGGAGGGAAAAGAAGGGGAATGCTACCAGAATTGTTCAAAGGCGGGAAGAACCTTGGGGGAATGAGATTATCAAAGGTGTAGCTACGCGGACGACCTCGGGGCTGGAAGGGCCGGACCTTAGAGCTGCGGCTTTAGCTCCACCCACCAACGTTCATTTCAAACTGCGCGACCGTTTCTCACCTGCCCTGCGCTAAGGAGGGGCCTGGACGCAATTCTGGGAGGAGCAAACGCCCGACTCGAGCCTTCCGTAATTCACCCAGCGCTTTTACGCAAATGACGCAAAGCGCTATCGATACCGCAAAAGAGGGAGGAGCACGTGTTTGGCGTAAAGAGGGCGTAAGCACTCCCGCCATTGGCGGCGGTTAGGGCGTTTACGTTACGCACTGACGTATGGAGAGACGCGTTACTGGGGGGAAGGTTCTAGAAAAGCGGCGGCAGCGGTTCTAGCGGCAGTAGCGGCAGCGCCGGGTGCCGGGTGGAGGTGCAGTTAGCGGAGTTTCTCGAGCAGCAGCAGTTCTCACTACAGCGCCAGGACGAGTCCGGTTCGTGTTCGTCCGCGGAGATCTCTCTCATCTCGCTCGGCTGCGGGAAATCGGGCTGAAGCGACTGAGTCCGCGATGGAGGTAACGGGTTTGAAATCAATGAGTTATTGGAAAGGGCATGGCGAGGCCGCTGCCGCCGCAGTGCAATTCGGCCAGCCGCTTCCGCGGGAGAGCGGCAGGAGACCGGGTCGCCCCCGTGGCGGTTATTGAGGTGTTTCCGAGGGGGTCGGTAGCTGAGGCTTGATTGTGTAAACGCTTTCCCCACCCTGTCTCTCGGCGCCATTTCCCTTTACTGGGGTGGGGGATGGGGAAACCTCTCCTGGCGGCCGCGGCTCCTATAGTGGAAGCGGGGCGCGGGAGCGGGCATTCACTGCCCTCGAAGGCACGCGGCTTCGGGGGC